GTGTAACACATAAATTTGCATGTGTCATGTACTCTTTTCCTCGACTAAACTGGGAAGACTGTTGTCTTCAGGGGGAGGGAAAAACTCAATATAATCACCAAGATTAGGTCTTGAAGACCAAATGCTGTACTCTTTTTTTTATTTAACTAAGTTTTTCCCAATGAGTTTATTAGTTAAAGGTTTTTAACGAGGCAGCTAGTAAAACACATGAATTTATATAAATCATGTACTCTTTTTCCCTTGGCTAATTTTTTTTTTCCCTGTCGGGTTTTTATTAGCAAGGTTTTTAATGAGGCATGTAGTAATGTCCAAGGGGGAGTGTTATAAATATATTAATATGGACATTACTAATAAATAATTGGGCCTGAAGTCCATTAGTGAGTAGGATTAGGTTATAGGGCTTCCCTCTTGTAAACCCTATAAAAGGGTGATTATACTGATGAATAAGATGACATACTTTTCTGCTCCTTTTTCTTATTCTCTTTACTGCACATCTTTATGTTTGGTTGATTGGTGGATGCTTGGTGAATACAGAAGAGTTCCAATTTACAACAAAAACAAAATCTATCTTTTATTATAATCACTAGGCATAATTGTACTTTGGTCCTGTAAGCATGATGCAATAAGTTTGGTTAGCTTATGACTGATAAGCTAACTTATAGTTATTAAGTGAATTTCGAGCTTATAGTTGATAGCTTATAGCTTATGGCTAAAAAGAGTGTTTGGTAAATAGCTAATAAACTAGCTGAAATAAAAAATTCAATGGGCTTATTTGAGAACCTACTCAAGGAAGGTTATGAGATTAGGCTCGAGCTTCTTAAACAAACACGTCCCACCAAACCAAGGTTATTTGAATACTGCAAGTTTATAAGCTAATCAAATAAGCCATAAGTATGCTTACCAAATACTTTATGAACCTGCAAAAGTCATCTGTAGGAATTCAATGTGTTACAAACTTACAGTTGATTTGATCAAAAGCTTGGTCCAAATAACAAAATCAGGGGAATTGATTTGATACAACATTTCAAGGATCCACTGTTTACACTGACAATTGCTAATTCTACACAAGACGCTTATAATGGCAAGTCGCTAAAAATTTCAAGATAACAAAGAACTCGCGCAATAGAATATCATCAATGCTCGTTCGGTATATATCCAAACTCTCAATGCACAAAATTCCCCCTAAACATTATGCGTTCTAAAAACCACTTGAGAGGTGTAGGATACCTTGTTTGACAATGCCGCATGCAATTTTAGCGGTTGGACATGAAAAAGCTTCGACAAGAGCGACTATTGAAGTGCCCTTTACAGAAAAAAGCTCGATCTTCCTACAACATGAAAACAATTGATGAGTGCTAAAGGATCAAAACAAGGGCATAAATTACTCACATTAGATAAAGCATGTACCCACTGCTAGCTAAGCCTAAAGTAATAACAACTGCGACTTGTGATCAACACCATTGAAGATAAAAGTACCGCTCAGCGGAACAAACTGTCGCGTGATGAGCTGCAGAGAAAAAAAAATAAATAATAAACGCCTCAAATTAGAATGAATGCGAGACACATGTGGTGTTTATATGGAACCTTCCTGAATAATTTAGGGGGCGATTGGACAGATCCGATAATTGTTTTTACTCTTCAACTCAAAATCCAACTCAAATTTAGTCCAACACAACTCTCCTCAATATTATCAATATAATTAAACAATATCAATCAATCCTCCTCACACATCACAACAACTTTAATTCACTATTCATCCACTCACATATTTTACATATTTTTAACTGCCTAACATTTCCAATAACCTCAACCATACTTTTTCATCACATCAACTTTTATCATTACATTTTAAATACAAAATAAAAATGCCACTCAATCCTCCATGCAATCAACTTTATTTAAAATTAGCCCAATTTAACTCAAAATTCAATCAAAATTGGTTTTGATTTACATCCAATCGCCCCTTAGCGATTTAATGGTAGACAAACATGGATTTCTTGTGTCAAATGTTTCCGGAAAGCACTACATTTTTTAAGATTTTATGTTCACATTATAATGTCTAGCTGAGGAATAATGGTTCACATTCGAAGACGGTACAATGTTTGCACCGAGACTGCATTTGACAAGATTGAGAAAAATTAAAATGAACTTAACCAACCTTAATCGCCTCCTGTGATGCTATTCCTCCAATAAAGGCAGCCACAGCATGAAGCTCTGAGGCACCATAACGGCACATCTCGTTAATAAGGTCCTCGGTCAAGGTCGATCCATTGCAACCCAAATCATTAAGTAAGGCAACAGCTGTCGTTTTCAATCTAGAAATATCCTCATCTGTCTCACTGCATAATGTCAATCATAATTATGTATGCATCAGGTATTAACTTTTAATAGAGTACTTATATGGCCAATCAGAGGTTAAATTTTTTACCCGTCAAATTGCCCAGGGAAATTGTTGTAGTTTGCAGCAAAACGGTCTACCGCTCGTAGAAGGATATAAAATCCAACAGCCATACTACCACAAAAAAAGGGCAATGGTATTACCAAGCAAAGCAATATGTATAAAAGCAGTATGTACCGCCATTTCATATATTAAAGCATAAGGTTTTAAGACTTCGCATAATGTATCCAAGAAATACTACAAAATACATATAACACTGTTGAGAAGTTACATTCAGGTATAAGGGGGAAAAATACCTGTAATCTTCATCTGTTAGATACTTTTGCAACTCCTGTTGAACCGGAGAACTGTACTCATCCTCAATAGAACGGTATCTGCGTACCTAATAATGGATAAAAATAGAAAATTATTTTAATTTAGTTTCTGTAACTCAATGAAGATACCAAAGAGTACATTTGAAAAAATGGAGGGACACCACAAATAAAAATGTGCCATCATGGGGAACACAGGGAACCCTATACGGGGCCTAGAAAGCAATGTAATCCCTCACTTTCAAATATTCAGTTAAATTCAAACTCACAATTCTCTTGGAATATTACTTATATCAGTTATAGCAATGAACTGAAAACAATACAAGGTACTTTGTGAAATTAGTTTATGGTCAAAGCAAAAACTAACACATGTATCATGTATGGTTCTAGACGATTGAAGCATGAGAAAAATAACAGTGACTGAAAATTCAGTATTGGCTGATTAAAGACCTGTCTTCTTATTCCATGGAAAAAGCCGGGAGGAGGAAAAAAACAATGCAGGGTAAAGGTTTTTTGCACAAACCTTAAGTTTCCGAGCATTTTTGCAGAAACTTTTTATGGTTGTCTTTGGGATGCTATCGGGATCTCTACCTATCTTCTTTAATATTTTCCTCGTGTATGTCTCCATGACAAGAAAATCAGCTTCGGCCTTCGCCTGGTATATCTTTTGCAGGTTGACATATAACCTACAAAGGAATTGGTGAGTAACAACGTAAAACCCACTAGAACACGACAAGCTAATAAGTATGACTCAAAGCACACGCCACTAACTCAGTAGAAGATGTCATATCAGGCATCGCTCCCTCCAGAGGAGCCTCTCCACCACCTTCATTAGATATAAATTCCTAAAGCGCAAGTGAGACATGTGAAAAAAAAAAATCAGAAAACACAAAACAAAGTATGATGGTACCTAGGACATCCATTAGACATATGCAGAAGAAAACTTACTTCCAATTCTTTCCAAGTTAACTTAAAGGAAAAGGTTAAAATCACGCTCACATGGTGGTAGCACTGACTGGAAGATATTAATTGCCGCCACCGAGAGACTAGATTTTGAATAAAACCATCATCTAAATTTTAGGATCTCATTCTGGATGAGTATTGAATATTGATATATAATTGGAAGAGTTCTGTGAATATTATGTTTAGGGCCCGCCAGTTTCATTTACATATGTTTTCTTTCCGTTTGTATTGTTCAATGCCACATTTATTTGGATTAGTCACTCTATCAACTAAGATTCTATTGTTGCTACTCTAGAATCATGCAAGAGCTATCTCCAGCTAGGTATTTAAATTACTAACTAAAAGTTAATCAACATATTTGTACCAAATTCTTACTGAACATTTATCTTTGGGTTTTTTTCCACATTTCACTTCTTGCTATAAAACAACTACTTTTATTTCTTTTGCTGTATTCACTTTATACAGAATATAGACCTCAAAAGTAACTGATATGGCAAACAATGCCATTGTACAGAATATAGACCTTCTTAAAAGCAACAATGCCAGGGTTATTCGAACACTTCATATTAACACTAAAACTTAGGGTTAAAAAGTTGGAAATGCTTAAAACGAGTTTACAAATAAAACCAAACAACTAAATAATAGCACCTTTAGGGCTGCCACCAACACCCAAAAATCGGATGAATTAGAATTAACTTCAGCGCAGCTGTCACTAATAATCTGAAGTAGCTCTGGACCTGAGATGACAAATTTAGGATTAACTTCAGCATATCCATCACCAGACCAATTAAAGTTTCAGGTGATGCCATTGGTTACTCAAAGTAGCGAAAATCGAACCCCAGCATATGAGTCAAGGGTTAAAACTATGTATGATAGCAGCCAACTTATAGGCTAACAATCTAACTCAAATGTGCAATTCGGGATAAACAGTCCCAAAAATTCTATCAATCAAGTAATAATGTGTAATGAACTTACTAATTCCTCGAGGAGAAAAAACTTTGAAGGAAGCTTCAATGGCTTCTTTGTAGTTGTCTTCATCAGATGCAATCATCTTGGCCTTAATTAAATCCTAAGCCACACATCCAAAAACCAATCACATAATTTGAGTAGAGGAAACAAAGAATATGGATAATTAAATAAATTTCCGAGCCAGATAACTTGCTAGGCACCTTAAACACTTTTTTCTCTTCCCTCGTTGAAGGAAGGTTGCCTTTATGTGTTTTAGCCCACTCATCTGCCATCTTAATGAGAATGATAACATATGGAGTGTGTTTATGAACGACAGGATCAGATGTATCCATATCTATTGTTTCTGCAAATCTGACCATAAGATACTAATTGTCATATTCTAAACAAAATATAGTTATAGGTGAAACAGAAACATACACAAACTAAAACGCGGAAGACAATATCAAACCTCCTGAGTTCTGGCCACGGGTTATTAAGCCGCAGATCATCCAGAAAATGATCAGGCTTTGATTCAATCACCGCATGTTCCTGCAGTATAATGGGGATTAAGATCCATACCTCAATAAGTCAATTTTAAACCTACTTAAAAGTTAAAACTAATTCTTTTCAAGGAAACTACATCTAAATTTGAATAAGTAGCTCATCCATGTCTAGGGCACCAAAATATATCTAACACACTAACAAAAGTTTGCTCCTGCAGGAGCTTCTTTCATTCCATAGTACTTTCTCCAAATGATCAGGACAATCAGAGAGAGAGAGAGAGAGAGAGAGAGAGAGATTATCTTCGAAATAAAGTAAGAATAAAGCATCCAAAATTACCTTCACACTGATCCGAACCAAACCAGTGAGCCCATAAGAGCGCGCATATATAAGCATGACGTTTGAATCACGGCATATTTTATCCAACTTCACCATGGAATGTTCAACGAGCTGAAGAAGAAGCCATTAATAAGTTAATAACTCGGTCTACAGCTAATGAACACTGTAAATGAGCATCAAGGAATCAAAATGCGAGCTAATTCGCTTAAGGCTATATAAACTTACAAGACAAATTCACAAACAGACATAATGCAAACCACATCTGAATGTATACACTTAGGATGATTGTTCACCATTATGATGCAGCAAAACAAAAAAGATAGAACAGTATACAGAAAGTGCATTCGTCCTGACCTGTGTGGCAACTACCAACGTAAATTGCGAAAAGAATGAGGGGTTGGATTCGATTAACTTTTCTGGATATTCCTCAATAAATTTTGCCTTCACTGCATCATTTAACTCCTCTAGAAAAGCACACACAGTCTTCGCCTTAGATTGGCCGACACTCGATTCATCCACTATACAGGCATCAGCCAGAATACAAGTTAAAAAAAAAAATATATAAATTGACATTCATTGAGCAGGATGAGCACGGAGAAGAAAAGGGAACCGCACCCATGAAATTATTCCCCAGGTCTCCAAGCTCAACTTTAGAGCCATCAACAACCGTGATACTCCCAACACCGCCAAGCACCAAATTTTTCAGAGTTTCCGAGCCGGTGGGCCCACAGTTCAACAAGCATATGCTTGATTTCTCGAGGGCTGCTTGCCCTTGCTCGCCCCAAATTCTGCATAAATTTTGAAATTTACAGGTGAGATTGCGAGCGATACAGTGCAAAAAGGTAAAGGTTGAGAAGAGTGAGAAGCCAGGTAAAGCTGTTCTTACCTGAGCTGACGATCGTATTTGGTCTTGGATTCCGCCATTGACGATTTGCTTCGTTGATACGCAGATGTGAGATTTTGCCGAGGCTTTATGAGAGGGAAAAAGGAAGTCTTTGTTAGGGTCTGTTTGGTTAAGAAACAATTCTCTCGTTGTTCTAAATTTTGGTATCATTCATTTTTCTTCAAAGAACCCATCACTTTCTACTAAGTAGATTAGATGTTCAACATAACATTGAATCTCTAATATATAATTAATTAATGAAGATTTAAGATAGTTAAGAGATGCTAAATGAAAGACTGGACAGGTTGTACACCGCTCCATCGTTTGAGGCCACCACCTCCTTTACATGTCCAGCATCCACGACTCAAGATCGTTGTTTGGCTGAAACCCGAGGCCCCTTGGGTTAAGCTAAACACTGACGCATTCGACAGACATATTGGAGCTGCTGGAGGAGGGGGCCTGATTAGGGATCATGGTGGGGCACTCATCTCTGCCTTCCCGGACCACTCCGAGCCTCCTCGAGTTATGATGCAGAGATTTAGGCGCTACAGATTGGTCTTAAGATTGCTGCCTCGATCTCCTCTCATATCTTGATAGAGATGGATGTTGCAGCTGTCATCACACTTTTGACATCTGGCCACCAGGGCTCTAGCAGATACAACATCCTCTTATGCGCATCAGAGACACCCTCCGCTCGATCCATTACCAGGTCTCACACATATTTCGAGAGGAGAATTGACCCGTTGATTTCCTTGTTAGCACTGGGTCATCTATACCCCAAAGACGCACCCTTCATCCTGAGGACATCCCCTCCGGCTTCGGACACTCATTCGGATGGACCAACTAGAGTACTCATCCTTCTTATTCGGACGACCGCCACCACCTGACCCTGACTAGTCTTGTCGTTTTGGACCTCATGCCAGGTCACTCTGACCAGGACGAATTTTTATGTGGACTTGACCTTAGATCTACATCGGGTTTTTTTTTTTTTATCCTTGTACCTTTTATTTTTCTGCTTTGATGTAGTTCATTGTATCTTCGACATTGATGTAAACCATTGACTTTGTAGCCCTCTATGGACTTTTATATTCACAGGTTGAGTGTATAGCCTCAACCCCCCATCCCACACTGGGATGTTTATGTAATAAAATAATGAAAGAATCAACTCGTGAGCTAGGCTCGGCTCATCTCGTTAATACCCGAGTTCAATTCCGCTTTAAATGTTCGAAAATAGAATTTTTAATGTGATTTTTTAATAACTCAGCTCGTTAATATTAACAAGTCAAACTCAAACTCATTTATTAACTTGTTTTGTTAATGAATCAGGTTTGACTTAGCTAGAAAAAACTTCGAGCTGGAGCTTATTTACTAAAAACTCGAGTTCAACTCAACTAGTTTACACATTTGAGATGGTTGAAAATTATTTGAAATGAGTATGTTAAGCAGGGCTAAGTTAGGTATCCATCTTCTAAAATCGAAATAACAAAAAACGTCATTTATCAAAATCGAATTGTTATAAAACTAGAGAGAAAGAGAGAGAATGGAGAAAATGTTTCTCTTAGGTATGAATTTCATTATAACTGAAACTCCTATTTATAGGAAACTTCTGATGGCACAACCGTAATAATATAATTACATCAGGGACAAAATAGTCATTCACATACATTATTTTATAAATATTTCACAACACTCCCCCTTGAATAACTATTTCTAAACATATTTTAACTGATTAGAATAAAGTCCAATTTGCATATCTTCATGTGTATCTTGTGGCCATCATGTACCGTTGCTTCAGCATGTCAGGAAAACCTGGTGAGACAAAACCTGATCATCTTGAAATCATAACATTGCTTCCTCAGGAAAACCCGGTGGGACAAAACATGAGCATTGTGGTAGCACAACATTGCTCCCCCTCAAATTGATCATCATTAGTGGAGTATCCATGTGCTGCCTCGTTAAAACCTTGTCAAGAAAACCCAGTGGGAAAAAACTTGATCGAAGGAAAAAGAGTACAACTACTCTAGTATCATCATGAGGAATCATATCAATAATCCAGTAGTCCTCATTATACCATGAATATGCCTCGTTAAAACCTTATTAGGAAAAACCCAGTGGGACAAAATTCTATTGAAGGAAAAAGAGTACACTATTCATGTAAATACGCCATCCATGTTGCCTCATTAAAAACCTTGCTCGGAAAACCCAATGGGACAAAACCTTAGCCAAGGGAAAAAGAGTACAACGTGTATTCCATATATTCACCATAATAACTTTGCCATAATTTTCATGAATATCATATAGGTTAATTAAGATTTTCAGATACTGGTGGTATTTATGATAATATGCCATATCATGCTTTTGTGCAACTTTCATTCTTAAACTCATTCTTATCATCAATCGATTTCAATGGTCTTACTGCCAATAGTTCCCAATATTCACATTTCAGTTGATTTCATTCTCATCAATATCATTTATATAGCGCTATTCATTTGTTTGTGTCGACACATATTCATTTCCATTATTCCCCGTAATATATTGAGATATCTCATTATCAATTAATTTCATCGATAGTATATATATGCCTCCTTTCATCACTTATTTGGGGAATTTCAATTTGCACAATACCAACGCTTCCAGCGTATCTTTCCACCATCATATCATTTCATATATTTAACCACCATCAGTATCATTTAGTTTATGATTTGCACACTTTCAGTGTGATGCATATATCATTTTTAAAATTTCAATAATTGATTCTCCCCCTCATCTTAACAGATCTGATTTGTATTTTCAGTTTTGAGTTTCTTGAGGGGAGTTCATATAATCTCCATTTCGTTCTCGATTTCAACATATAATAGGACTTTGAACTCATATCACTTGTAATGTGCACATGAGTTCATCATATGAGCTGATTATATTACTAGCTTCATCACTTTCATATGACACTTATTTTCATTCTTTCACAGCCATCTTGTGTCATTCTTTGATCAAACCATCTCGTAACTTCAGGTTACGTGTCACATACATAATCAAATCATCTTGTAACTTCAGGTTACTGATCACACACATGTGGCTATCTAATGGATCCATAATATCTAGTAGCACACATGGAGGGGTAGTGGGCCCATATATATCGTACCCCTTTCATACTCAATTTGATCAAAAATCAATTCACAAATATTTAGCCAGTAATAATTTCACCAATCGAGAACAAAGTATCTCATATCACAAAGAATCAGTTAATCATTCAAACCATCATCATTTATATCAGTAAGTATTACAATAAATCATTGCGACCCATTTATCACAAATATATCACATCACCATTCGGCGGCAATAAATGCACTTCAAGTGTAGATTCTGACCCACAATATTTAAATTCAGAACTGTATCACATGCGTATCAATCTTTCTGTCAGACAAACTCTTTGTTTTTAGAGTCGTATAGCATACGCATCATTTCTATAAATTATCATGCATTCTATTTATTTTTTACGAACAAAGGTCCGAATTTACATATGGATTTGACACTCTCAAATATCCGTAAATATTATTCTTTTGTTCCAGTAAATATCATAAAAAGAATTTATCGGTCTCGAATAGAAAGATTGAGGGTGTTAATGATCAATGATATTCCAGGCGATATTCGATGGTTGATTGAAGCAAAAGTTCGATTGTCGGGAGAGTTTCCAAATTCAAACAAATATATGCCAGGTATGGGTAAGAGTACTTTTGCAAAGAAACGAAGAGCAAAACGATTAGGTGGGTGCTTCAAATGCGCTCGATGGACTTGTGACACACGATGTAAA